ACACATTGCTTAAAAGTTCATGATTATGATAACGATCATCTGACATCATGATCGACATAAAAGTAAGTGTAATAAAATGGACCCTTATTTCGAGGAGAGGTGTGTACAYACAAAGAAAACGATGTTCGCTGAATCAAAGTTTCGTCGAAATCGATATCTTTATTCTTAGCGAAAACTTCTATCATGAAACTAAATGGATAAATGACGAGTGAAAGAACCAACATAAAGTAATGCATCAGTTCTTACCTCTCGGTCCGTTTCTCTGAATGTAAACAATCACAAGCTTAAAATGCTTCAAGTGAGCTGGTTTTGTCTCGCACACCTCGGTTGAGTTACACTGCAGTCCGAAGCAMGTATCACTCATCATAATAGCAACATCACACTTCTGCCGAGCGCAGCACTTTTTAGCGCATTCAGCCATGTTSGAAAACTCTGCAAGCTTAGTAAACGTTCCGGCCTTCAGCCCACCTTTCAATGTCACGTGATGATAGACGTCGCTATGGCTACARGTGGGCGTGGTTGGAGTTTTCGTTGTGCTRGTGTGTGTTAGTAATCCTGCATCTTTTATAGGTTGTGTAGGTTGTTTGTTGGTTGAATCTGTTTGCTTGTTTGTTGGTGATGTCGATGCCTTGAAGAAGGACAGTAATGAACCTTGTATAGYAAAATAGCAAAAATAGAATCATTAGTGTAAAGTTTGTCATCTTACACTGATCATTTTAAAATATGGGAAACAGAGCCAAGATTCCTAACGTCTGGGTCTTCGTTTTCATTCACAGTTCCTGAATAGACTGAGTGAGTAAAGACATGAATTGTCAGAAGCTAAAAACCAGACGTGCTGTCTTTGTCGCGCGATTATGACAAAAGGAAAAATTACCTTGAACTAGCTATTCCTTTTTCAGTGCCTAATTTTAACATTTTTACAGTTTGAATATCAAGTATGTACTTATTATATTTGTTTACAGGAGGCCTAATAGCCGAGCAATATTTTCTAAATTGTTGTAATCTTTTTGTATATTTTTTGTAGTTTTTTTTCAAATTTAAAAATGACAAGTCATATACGTACCATCWGCGTTGTAGCGGTTAACGAATCCAATAACAGGGCTGACACTCAGAGGCGTTCTGGTGATAGTTCCACACAATCTTGAGTTCATGCACTCGACAGCAAAGCARTTTTCTCCGACTTGATACGCKACTGTACAGTTTTCCATCGCACAGCAAAGCTGCATGCATTCCTCTATTGTCGACACCTTTCCCTTGTCGGTGAARTTTCCTGCCCCAAGTCCACCTACAAGATCGCTGTTTCTAAGGACATTGCCCAGTTTACAAGTCGTTTTTGGTTTGGATGGAGTGGTGACAGGCGTTGGCGTGGTGGAAGGTGGGGTAGTGGTTGTTGGTTTGGTGGTTGGTTTGGTAGTTGGTTTGGTAGTTGTTGGTGGGTTTGTAGTTGGTGTTGTAGCCGATGGTTTAGTAGTTGGAGCGGTTGTGGTTTCTTTCTTTGGCGTTGAATTCGTTTTCATTTTACTTGTAGGTCTCCGAGATGAACCAAGTGCKTTCAAGGCTTGCGCCAAAGATGGAGTATTTGGAGTTGGTTTCTGAGAGAAGAGCGGTGATTCAGTGAAGGATAGAAATGGTTCTAAAGCATCAAAAGGTGACCTCGTTGGTGTTGGAGTACTCGGGTGAGTGAGATATTTTCCTCTTGATTGACCTTGTATATTTTCGACGTATTTGCGTATTTCTTCGCCCGACAAGGCTCTGGTAAACATATAAATTTCATCRAGTTTTCCAAAAAGAATCTTTCTTCCTTCTTGAGAACCAAACGCAGCTCGGCCTCCCCAGTCTTGTGACAGATAGCCACGCCCATGGGTGGAGCCCCTAAGCTTGCCGTCCACAAACACCTTAGCAAGGCCCTGGTCGGAGTCGTATGTACAAGCGACGTGRTACCACAGGTCAGAATATATGACTCGGGGCGTTTGGATCTTGAAGACGATTCGCGAGACTCCAAGACGGTGATACCAGCGCACGTGACCATTATAGATTTCGAAATTGTACTACAATAACGGCACCATTTCAGAATTAGCATACATTAGATATAGGACAAAACAGGGTTCAAGAGGGAGATCAATAAGAACCCAAGGCTTTCTGTAAAGGGATAAGGCCTGCACAACGGGCAAATGATGATACTAGTAGAAGAGTGATCTAAGATTTTGGTAACTAATTTAAAGGCTAGATTATTTATATTCGAGTCATGCTCTCAAAAATAATCCAAATAGAATCAAAATACAACTAGTGTACACATTGTTTCGCYTCCCAAGTCGTACAATAGGAATATGATACGACTGTGTTCACAACGACGTGATAGTCGATCCAAGTCAATAAATCAATTGAACTTGGTTTAACGCACCTGCGCCTTCCGATGGAACGAGTTGCTCTGAGTTGTACTGAACACTGTGTGAGTACCAGTAGTAGCCGACAGCTTCAACCAGACAGCCAAAGTAACCGCCTTGCGTGGCTTACCGTGGAAGTGCTTCCCATGTAAAAGTAAATCACCACCATTCATGCTTGCACCTTGGCCTACTCTGCCAGTTTTGACCGATGTTCCTGAAGGAGAAGGAGAACAAAATTCGATTATACTTCTTTGGACGTAGTAAAGATTGGTCATGACAATGCGGGAGAACACTGAATGATGAGCATAGAATGACTGCAACCCRTACTTTATATACAAGTAAGATTTCCTCTAAAAATATTTTTCTTTTGTTGCAATGATGCATTCTTGGATGCAAGCAAGATTGAACATAAAACTTTATAATTCTTTAACGACAAAGTACATCAAAAACTGTGAAGGAAGATAGTAAAACGGAAGTAAGATAAGGGGAGTCAAGATGTTTAGTCACCTGTTGTCAGTTTTGCATCGTTATTGAGGCCTGAACCATCAACGACAACCGAACCAAGCACATGTTCAAAACCAAGATATAAAGACAGATGTTGTGAGTGACTATCGGGCTCGCTCTCTTTCTCGTCACTGCCAAGGGTTGGTGTGGGCATGGACGTCGTAGGGAACAGCGACGAATCATCTGCGCTAGTTCCTGGAAAATGCAATGAACTCAGTTAAAAAATAATAAATTTCCTTTAAAGTTGTTACTTCTAATATCAAAATCTTCTTCAAATGCTTTTTGTTATCCATGTATTTTAACTCTTTTTTGAGTCTCAAAATAAAGGCTTTAATTAGGTTATGAAGACTTGGACCAGGGTAAAAAGGATCAGTTCTGTTTTTACAAGTATCACTGAAGACGTAATGTCAAGGGAAATGGAAAATTGATGAATATGAAAAATGGGATCTTGTTAGAGATACGGAGACYAGCCTTACCTTGTCCTTGCCTGGAAACAAATGAAATTTGGAACTCCCCGCCATCTTGAACTGTACACCGTGACATTGGACAGTGCATCGTAAAACATTCGTCTTTCTTCATCAGAGCGATGTCACAACTTGTATCTTGACAGCAAAGCCGTACACACTGGTGCATATTGCTMGCAAATGTATTGGTGAGAATTGTTCCTGCTTTGAGACCGCCGGTCAGTTTGACATTGTAAAAGAACATGCTTTGCGTGCAGTAGCCTTGATCTAGGGCCTGGCTTTGAGTGGGCTTCGACGGCTCATCGACGGTATCCCAATCATCAACCTCTTCGTAAACTGAATATGGTGGTCGCGTAGTCTTTGTTGGTGCAGGTAATAATGGGCTAAGTGTTGTTGCAGGAGTATTTGAATTCGTATTTTTACCTGAAAAGGATCGTTTTCCAAAGGACGGGAAAGGCATGAGTTAATTGAAGCATAAATATTACTGAGATCGCTGACATACCTAGGGTGCTTTAACGTCCAAAAGACAAACCTAAGTTAATTTAGATTTTCGTTCCGTTCATTGATAAGAAAGAATACCAGTTGTTYAAGTTAATGTCTCCCAAAATGGCGGAAAGGTTTTATCGAAAATTGAGTTTTTTGATGATGAATAATTACCTTTTTTCAGGATAGACTTGCCATTACGCATGACATAGTAMACACTAGGACCATCTAAGTCGATGTTCAGCAACTGCACTGGTTGACAGACATCAGCATTAAAGCAATCGACRGCATAACAATGATTATTTGCCAGATATATCAAATCACATGATTCCATTTGACAACATTGTTTGAGGCAGTCTGTGGTCACGTGAACACTTCCAAGATCTATAAATAGCCCAGCGTTCATTCCTGCTTTTAGCTTGCTGTTGTAGTAAAACGAACTCTTTTGACAATGAGGCTCGTCCACTGCTACTGTCAAAGGCGGTATTGTAGGTCTTACGTAAGATGTATTGGTTAAAGGTCGAACGATRGCTTTGGGAGTTGTGTATTTGGTATTGCTTATAGGTGACGTAGAKCGTGGTTTAGCTGTTGTTGAAGRTGTTGTACTAGTGGTTTTGGCGGTAGTRGTTACAGTTGTTGGTGTGGTAGGCCGCAACGTAGTTGTAGCTTGGGTAGGAGTASTCGTTGCTCTGCTTTTTGCTGCGCGTAATTTAGCCATAGCTTCTTCGATGAGTTGGTCTGGTATGAGACCATTGTAGCTTCCCTCTCTCATTGGAATTGATTCACCTTCAAAAGAAAAGAGTTCTTTAAATAACACAGTTCCAAAATAAATATCTCGAGAACAAATTTTAACCACAGAACCTCAAATAAGAAAGAAAGACAGAAATGAAGAAAATTAAAGAAAAGGAAGGATGAAGGAAGGAAGGAAGGAAGGAAGTCAGGAAGGAAGCCATGAAAACAACTCCAAAGAACGACTGCTATGCTGGAATAACTGTACACTTACCCACACCAAGGTTACATTCTTCAGACAGATCTGCAACATCTGAAGCAGCCAGAGCACGATTGAAAATATAGAACTCGTCAACTATTCCCTGTATTCCTCCCGCTAATCCGATCCCTGCTTTTCCATCCCAGTTCTGAGATAACAGCCCATATCCTAGCTTCTCTCCAACTACTTGACCATTCACTATGACCTTGGAGAGGTTGGTACGTGAGTCGTAGGTTGCACCAAGATGGGCCCAGTCTCCTAGATTGACAACTGGTTCTGTCTCAAGTGCGAATACCACRTGTCCATTATCGTTCAAATGCGACCAATGAACTTTGCCKTCTGTGACTTGGAAAGTATACTTGGCTCCATTCCCCTCAGTGGTGAAAAGGTTGTAAAAGTTATCAGCAGTTTCTAATTTGACCCATAATGCAACAGTAATTGCTTCTCGTGGTATGCCATGAAAGGCCTTGTTATCGAACAAGATATGGCCCCCGTTCATKGTGATTGCCGCGCCACACTTGGTGTCASTMRCTGTGCTGGTTGGTTTGATAGATACTTTGCCRTTRTTATGGAGACCAGAGTCGTCCATGACAAGACCGTTCTTRATGGTCTCAAAACTGAAGTGGACAACCATGTAGACTTCATTACCTTGGAAAGTGGTAAATAAGATATTGCTAGTTTAGAACATAGTATAAAAACAAAAAAGATCTAAATGATCCTGTTTATGTATTGAAAGTAGCATGCAAGTATTATAAGACCTGTAAAAAGTTGATCACCAACTTTGGGCTCATATTGTCACGTGAAATAGACAAAGAGAAGTCACGTTACATGATGTCGCTGTAGACTGATTTTGTCAGGGTCTATTTCGATAACGCTTGCTTTGGACTAACTTGACATTTACCASATAAATTCAAGCAAAAATACTTACCGTTCTTGTCTGTAAAGTAGGAATTTCCAGGCAGCATAATATAGTGAAGAGATTATAAAAATCTCTTACTATGTTATGCTATCTGGTCAAACCCTTCAAAGCTCCTTTCTTTAACCATATTACGAAAGTCYGGTGGATTTGAGTTGATCTAGCTATAACTATGTCTGTATAAAATGCATAAATCTTTCGAGTTTTAATGATAAACTACTTTCAAGAGGGAAACACGCAAATGTGACACTTACCAAAACCGTTGTGCGGAATGTCGACTTTTTTCCTGTCCCCTCCAATTTTAACATTCCATTTGTTTTTAAACTTCATCAGCGTCTTCAGCTCCTGAGCACTTGGTACTTCGGGTCCCAATTCTGCAGCGCTAATGCTGTTATCCTCGGTTGTTAATGTAGGGAGGGGAAATTTCTGAGTAGTTTTAGGTGACACTTTGTGTATAGGCCACTCGAAATGTGACTGTTGGTCGTCARCAGTTGAATGCCTTGTCTCTTGAATCTTATCTGAGCTTAATTTGWTTCCCTGGACATCATCAAGTGCTTTCATAAGAGATGCACTCGGTGTTTCCGACTTCTTATCTTTTTCTAGTTTAGGAATTGATGTCTCTGACGATGCTATGAGATTTCCACTTAGCGCATCTTTGTGATTTTTCATAGATTTTTCGACTTCTTTAACAGCCTGGTCAGCAACTGTGTCTATCAAATGCTGAAGCTGTAGATCATTGGAAGATTCTCGTGTTCTGGAAAGGCTTGGATTTTGCGCTTCTTTTTCTTGCGRCTTTATGAAATGACTGGTGTGGCTATTCACAGATGTTTTTAATTCTGGAATTTTCTCCGTTCTAATCTTCTCATCTTCTAGGTTTGGTGATTTGGGCACATTCGAAGGTCCCACAGAATGAAGAGGTATCGTTGAGCTCTTAGATATATCCTCTTCCTGCTGTCCCATTCTCTTATCTTCTAAATCTGTTTTAGTCTTGTCCTCGTTAATAGTCTCTTTAGGGCTATCAGATAATTTCGGTGACTGAAATTCTTTTAAAATCTCTATTGCCTTTTCAATTCCCGATCCGATTTTATTCGGCTTTTCGTTTTGTTTCTCCAAATTTGGACTGTTATAAGGCTTCTCAGTGTTTGCCAAACTTACGACATCATTCTTTCTCATTTTCGTAGGCTGTGAAAGCTTTGGTCTATTTAGATTTTTCAAAATAGWAATGGCTTTGAGCAATGCTTCGTTGTTATTATGCCCAGCAATTTTTCCATTTTGGAAGTTCTTTGATTTCTCTAAGTTACCTAAGATTGATACGGCTTTGGCCAATGCAGACTCTGTAACCGGTTTTGTAGGATGTGAAGAAAGTGATGGATTTGTTAAACCTTGTAAGATATTCACAGCTTCAGCTAGCGCAGGGCTGCTTGCATCCTCAGTGGATTTAGCAGCTGTTGACAAATCAGGATTTTGCATATTGTTTCCAAGGGTTGCCCTGTTCTTCATTTCTAAGCCATTTGTAATCTTTTTTCGTGTTGCAGGAGTTGGAGCGACCGGCTTTGGTGATGCCTTGATAAGGCGTGGACTAGCTATACTCTTCTTCACAGATTCAAGTTCTGACAAAAGATGAGAAAACTCCGATTGGATGCTTTTCTTATTTCCAAAGGTAAGTCCATTGCTTCTTGTATTCTTCCTCTTTGTGTAGTTCGTTTTCTTTATTTTTGTCTTTTCTACTTTGGATGTTTTCTTCGCATTCTTATGTTCCATCTCTTGTACGACATCATTAGCTACCTTCACAGCAACTTGGCTTATCATTTTCTCGAAGTTTGGAGTTGTTTTTGGCTTTGTTCGCCCAACTGTAGGATTTGTTGAAACGTTGTCTATCATTCGTGTCTTCTTATCCCCAGGAATTGATGACTTCTGGGCGCCATCTCTCCCTAATGCAAGAAACAAAACACATAAGGTACATTCTTGAACGAGTTATGCAGAAACTCTTAATGTTCAATGTATATCAATCATCATGTTTTATATTTCAAGTAAAATATATTTCGAAACGATTGTCACGCAAAATACAATGGGTGCTTGGAGGGCCATGCGAAATAAGATCCCATCAAACGTTTGCAAATGTGGGTATTCGTGGTAATTGCAAGATACATTCTTTTTTTCCACATGTAATGATTATTATATGACTCGCGACGTCAGTGACAGATTTCAACGAAATTGTCATTCGATGAAAATTATTTTTCGAATCCATAATATTAAATATAAGTAATCATTTTACTTATGACCAATGATCAGAATCTAAACTGAATAGTGATGGCCAATCCCTAACTTGAAACGCGACCAAACATCTATTTATATACCAGAAAGATAGAAAAATTACCTTCACTGATTGTTGAACTTTCAATATATGGAAGCTTGTTAGTAGGCATTCCTCTTGGTGGCGGAGCAATTGTTGGTATCGGTTTTGTTGAGGGCGTGGTGCGCACATTATCCGTCCTGTTGCGAGGATGCGGAATAGTAGATCTTGTATCCTCAGGTGATATATTTCCATGGTGGGTTTGGTTATCTTTCGTCTTACTTCCTTTCTCTTTGAGTTCTTTCATTTCTTTGTAGATATTTTTCATCTCTTGTAGGATTGCTTTCTCTTCGTGGTAGTGTTTGTAATGGATTTTCTTTGACTTTCGATGCTTTTTCTTTCTTTCTTCTGAACTATAACTACTTTTCCCTCTCGACATGGTTGGCCTGTTTTTGTGTTTTTGCCTGTTTTTCCGCAAGTGTTTCTTCTCATGCGCCAATACTTTTTGACGATGCACCTTTACTGCATGCTCATATATACTCTTAATATAATCCAGCATCACATCACTAGACTGATCAATCAAATTACTCTTCGGTGGTGGTCTCATAAAAAGTGTTTCTTGTGATGACCCTACACTCTGTGAAGAAGTGGATTGATTAGGCCTCTCAATGGAATGTTCTGAAATTTTCTCTTGACTCTTCATAGGATTATCCATGACTTTTGAGATATTTTCAGAGGGAGATTGAGGACGTAGAATTTCATGGTGCATGACATGGTGGGTAGTTGACGCTGCTACTGTAGGATGTACCGAAGGCGCCGATGCGTTTTTGTAGGTATTGTTACTCTTAGTGGATTCCAGTTTCATGAGAATATCCAGTTTGTTATAGAGCTGATTAACCTTGTCATAGAGTTTATCTATTTTCTGTTTCTTCGAGCTGTACTTTGTCGTTGGCTTGTACCCAGGCGGATGTAATATTTTATGGTGCATAACAGAATGTGATGGACTTGACTTGGTAGGGCTAGTATCTCCATCGCCGGACTCTCGAGAGGTCTCAGATTTGTGATGATGCTTATGGTGGGTCTGTGAACCGGGCGGATGGATTATTCTATGATGCATCACAGAATGTGTTGTTGGACTCATAGTAGTGGGGCTATTATCCCCATTGTCGTACTCTGAAGATGTTGGAGCCTTATGGTGATGCCGGCGTGAGGAACCGGGCGGATGGATTATTCTATGATGCATCACAGAATGTGCTGTTGGACTCATAGTGGTTGGGCTAACGTCTCCATTGTCGTACTCTGAAGATGTTGGAGCCTTATGGTGGTGCCGGCGTGAGGAACCGGGCGGATGGATTATTCTATGGTG